ACAGTTAGGTAAATCTTACAAATTAAATTTTTTACAATGAATGAAATAAGAAAATATCAATAAAAAATTGATGATGCGTGTAAAGTAACAACTTAGAAAAGAAGTATTCTTGAACGAAATCTATGAAGAATATTATAGTTACTTTTTTATTTTCTTTCTTTTATTGTCTCTGTTTCATTAACTTATTTTTTGATAATTCGATTTTTTGTTTAGTTTTTGTTAGGTAAATAGGGTCTTTTATAAATAACATAAAAATGTTCAACTTTCAATCATAACTTGTTTTTAATTTTTTTTTTGATTTTTATGATATTTTTTGCAATTTTTAAATTGCCTAATTGTAGGCAGCTCTTAAAAATTAACTTGTTAACAATAGATAGAATCAAAAAATTGAAATAAAATCTAAATTTTCCTCTTGGGTATTAATTTTTTGATTGATTATTTAGTGTAGCAAAGTCGACGAGTCGTTTCTTCCACTTTCCTTTTTCCTGTGTTGAAACGCTTGTTTCGASTTTATCTCTAATAAATCAGATTTCGTTTTCCATTCACCGAGGTGTATTTTTTGTAAAACGTCCATGTGGGATGTATCTTTTTAATTAGGTTTGGTAACACAGTCCAGTTCATTAAATCTAAACGAAACAATCGTACGAATTAATATTATGTAATGATAATAGATAATATATTTGTGTTGTTGTAGTAGGTACATTACTTCCCATTGCATAATTAACGAGTTGTGTCTAGTCGTATTTCACCATCTTTTGCGGTTTCTGTAACATTTCCCATATTCAAACCAACACGTCTCTAAATAACCCTAGAAAACCGCAATAATAACAAAATAAATTAGTAAACGCTTTGAACAAGGCTCGTATATTTTTAAAATTTATTTACGTTCGCAGAAATTTATTTTGTACCGTTGTAAAAAATTCAATTTCATTTACAAAACTGTAAAAATGCATAAATAATTCAAACAAAAAAAGAGTCAATATTACATAAGCTTGCGTTAGCAGGACTCGCTCTCACAAACATTTATACATAGAAAGCACAAGGGGTGAGCTCATCACTCAAACCACTAACTGAAAACTGTATTTGAGTTTTTAATTTCGTCATTGATTTTCTTTTTTAATACCAGATTTGGCCAGATTTAATTAAACGTGTCTTAAATTCCAAATGACCAACAAAATGCGCATTTATTTTTTGCCCAAAAATGATGGATTTTTTAGGTATAAATGGACTGGAAATCATTTAATTTTTCTATTTTTACGAGTATTACTACAATATTTTGGTCTAAAGTCTACATAGTTGTCTTCTATAATTCCAGAAAAAAATATTTTAAATTGGCTTCAAAATTTGGTTTTAGATATTATTTTTTTCGAAATTGTAGTTACAAACGATAAAAAGCTCTGAATTTATTTAAACCACTAAAAAGCAGTTTTTGAGCGATTTAAACTCTTGAAAAGTGTCAAAATTTCCATTTTTTTGATTTAAAGGTTTTGGGGTTATCAAAAAAGAAACAAAAAATTGAAAATAAATATGACACACACTGACACACTTTTTTTTTCTCGTAAAATTCTGCAATATTTTGACAATTTTTTGAAAATCTATTTCTTTGTTTATAGTTTTTGTTATACACAAAATGTGCAATTTTTATTTCTTTAAGAATATATTTTTTATGATATGAGGTAAATTCTAAAAATCAATTTTTTTACAATAAACAAATTAATTCAAAAAAATCAAAATCTCTGAGTGCAGAATCACTTAAAATGGAAAACATTCTTAAACAGAATCAGGCAATCTTTTATTGCCTGTTTCATCATTTTCAACTTTTTTTTTATAATCCAATTCTTTAATTCTTTGTTCATAGTTTTAATATACAGGGTGATAATTATAAATGATAAAAATGTGTAATTTTCAATCATAACTTGTTTTTATTTCTTTAAGAATTTTCCATAAACTTTTATACAATTAGGT